GATCTGGGCGGGGTTGTTGTAGCCGCTACAACAACAACAACAACAATATTTTTTTTTGTAAACAACAAATAAAAAAAATTTCTTTTGTTCTGGCTTCGAAACTAGAAGCTTATTTTTTGTTAAATGTGGTTTAAAAAGGACCTATTTGTAATGCTTCCATTTAAACATCTTTGTGGAAGAACAGTTTTTTGTTCAGAATTGCTTGTTTACGAACGTTTGGCATAAGTTGAAATCATAGGGATGCCGTTTTCTTCCGTTTCTCAGTGGATTTTATACTTGAAAAGGCACCAAAATATGTATGCAATACTTCTACATATCGTCGTTTAAAGTACAAAACCGCGCATCAAGAAAATGCAAAACCTCGTATGTGAGGCTTCCTAAATTTTGTAGGAGAGAGTGAAACTTGTCCTAATTAAAAAAGGTTCTCTCTTTTAAACTTAATAATCTTCTCTCCTTATGTGTAAGTATCGATATTTTATTATAAATGGCTAAGGGCTTGATGTCAGGAGCTTCCGGTGACCAAATATATTTTTTGGTACAAATTTCAGTTCCGAGGTTTTGCAGAACCACGATACGCGCTTTTGTACTTTAAACGACGATGTACATATTGGCGCTTGAACAATATGAGTGTTTGGCGTAGCTTTTCCTCCGATATGCGGCGTGTGCGTGATTTTGTCACACAAAATAAAGGACAGTTTTACGCCGACTCCGAACGGCAATTGTATTTTTATGAGAAGCTGTTTTTCATGGCACAAATACACTCGGAGGTTTGCCATTGTCTGCCGAGGAGCGACCCCTTTTAGAAAAAAAACTGGGCTTGAACTCAGGCTCTGCGTAATGCTCTACAGCAGCCGCCACTACTTTTACATATATTGCTGGTATATTCAAAATACTATCCCGAACTTCGGAGTGTATATATCTAATAAAAAGAATAATGAGAGGTACTATAAGAAAATGTACCCAAAATTCTGGAGCAAATGAAAAAATGCTCATTGAAAATAGTTCACATGTATAAATTAAAAGATATAACTTAATAGGTTACAGCGCTAAACAAAAGGAAAAGTTTGAAAAAATAGCAATGCGGTTTGAAGGAAACATGAAGCCATAAAATGCTTGTTTGTTTCGTTAATTCTCTCAACCTTGTAAGATATGGCACTCGTATTATTTGCAGTAGTTTGCAAATATTCACTAATGGTTCTAAAATCGCAAACATTTTCGTGGGATGTTTTTTCTTTGATTTCGAATTGAAAATACGTTACGATTATATTGTACCGAAATAAGTACGGTATCCCTGCATTTTGTAAAAGCCAGAAAGAAGCATAAACTGTATGAAAAAATGAAAGGGAGAAGTATACATGCCTTCTATAATTTTGACTTATATGTATATTTGGCAAGTCTTTGTGTAAACAACAAAAAATACAAATTTTCATTTCTTTGCCAGCTTGGAAAATATAGGCTTATTTTTACTTAAACGTGATATAAAGCTCATTAAAATATTCTGTAATGTGTTGTTGTAAGTTTGTTATCATACATGGTGTAATAATAAGGTGTTGTCAGTAACTTAACCTCACTTTTTCGGCAGGTCTATTCCGGTCACGCATTTTAAAGTACTAGAAAAGGTACTAATTATTTACTACATACTATTACATACTATTTCAAATTAAATGTAGAAAAATGTATAATTACCATGGTTATCATAGTTCTTCGTATTTTTATTGTCCACTAAACGTGAGTAGCTTCAATTTAAAAAGTTCTAGTACAAAGAATATCTTTGTTTTGAATTTGTTTGTTTACAGTTTTTAATTTTTAAAATTCGTACTTTTGACATGTATGTGAATGGCGGAGTTGCCGCTTTCCTCCTTTTCGGTGGGTTTTTATATTAAAAAGGCATCAAAATGGGAAAAAACCTCCTTGGTATCTCTGCATCTGTTGAACTTTTTATGGGAAGATGTATGAAAATCCAACTTGCTATAATTTCATATGCTTAACTGCCATACCTAAACAAAAGCGTCAGCGTTGTCTAGCTGTCAAAAAATTCTCATGCCCATACAATTTGTATGAAGCATACCGAAACAACGCGGCGTCAACGCTGAGCGGTTGGAAACTCCGATTTTGACAGGGCGTTAGGTATTAAAGTTGGCTGCAGAAAACGGCGAAACTGTGGGCGGTATTGTCACTTGCGAAGCGAATGAATTTGGCGAAGCGAACGGTTTGGCGAAGCGAATGGATAGGCGGACGCAACTTAAATATGCATTAAGTGTTCGCTTTTACCAGCTTGTGCAAGTTCTTCGCATCGCGCACACTTTTAATACCTTCTCTGCCTTTTAATTCGCTTCGCCAAACCGTTCGCTCCGCCAAATTCATTCGCTTCGCAAGTGACAATACCGCCCTGTAATTTTTGTGTTACACACAAACGAACCTATGCTTATTGTTGGTGTTATTTCTGCATTTGACGTAGCGTTGACGCTTTTGTTTAGGTAAGGCCTTTCAACTAATCGCTTTCAACAAAGTTGGTCGCCAGCCAACATTTAGCCATTCAACTTTTTTTTCGTGCAACCCTGCGTGAGTTGAAAGCAAAAGTTGAACGCAAAATCGCCTCGTGCGATCACCTTTTAAAGTGCACTATTGGAATATTTGCTCAGAAAAAGGTAATCAGGCAGATTCTGCCATTCACCCCAAAGTGAATAGCAACTAATAACTTTGAATTCAAAATAAATGGGCAAGGCGCATCCATAAAAGGTGGTGATTGCATATAAGTAAAAGTCCCGTGTATTTTGTTATTGCTTTTTGGTACAGGAGGATGTCAAAACGAAAGGGAATAGGAGATAATTTTCATCATTTTCTTTTGTTGACATCCTAAAGTTGCGCCGCTTCGTCTTGGATGATATTCTCCTGTACTAGTGTAGAGACAAAGATATCCAACCAGCTGATCAATCATTACCAGCTTGTGTTGATGCGCCTTGAAATGGGGTTCAAATTCCCCCGGAAATGAATTGCTGCAACGAGCGCTTACCTCGTGTTCTCCAGGACCTTTTTGTTTAAATGTTGTACTTAGGCTGATAGGAGGTACAATGCACCTGCTACTCCATTGCGACGGACTTTGCCCCGAATGAATTGCCTTAGTAGCAAACCCGCTGGGTTGTTTTTTAAAAGCCGACTCCATACTTGATACTTGAGAAATGATGAGGCACTCTGCAAAATTAAAATTCTAATAATTAGAAATGAAATGATACTAGAGCTGTAGCAAACCGTATGTATTCGGTACTGAGTAACGAATACAACCCCTGACACGAAGTACCCATGAACCAATTAGAACAGATCTGACCGGTTGAGAAGCAGCCATTTGTAATAGCAATTGAGAAAAAAGTGTGTGACGTTCGTAATTTTGAAGTTTGCTATTTCTGTTTTGCTTCTTTCTTTATGTGTATTTTGTCGGTGGTGTATTTCAGTGATTTTTAGGCGATTTTCAATAACTTTTTTGTGCAAATGAAATTAAAATGAAAGCTGATGCCACGTAAAACTTTTGCTTCGCTTTACGTGACAGATTCGCTTTGACAGATAAGATGAATTGTATGAAAATGCACAAAGCACGCCACATAGATCGTTGAAGCTGCAGCGCGAAGCGGACAGATGGCCAACTCCCATCTTTTTGCTCGCTTTGACAATCAACCGGTTTAATATTTATTTTGTTTCATCCAAATTCGAGTTTTCATGTAGAAACATAAAATTTAATTACATTGGCCCGTAGTCATAGTCAAAATAAAGTCGACTTTAAAGTTAGTTGCAGCTTTTTGACATAATTTTCAATGGGATATCTGTCAAAAAAGCTGCAACTAACTTTAAAGCCGACTTTATTTTGACTATGACTACGGGCCATTGGTGATATTTTTAAAGCAAAATATATAAAATCCACAGCAATTTTATCGAGTAAAAAGAAGTACAAAATTGTTTTCTTTGCGTTTATTGTGGCATAACTTTTGCGTCTGGCGCTTCGCTGGCAAAGTTATAAATGTCACGCGAAGCTACAAAGTTTTATCTGGCATCAGCTGAAGTGCGCGGTGATTAGTTGCAAAAACACGTACAAAAATAATAAATTGGTTAGGACAAACACGTGCTACAAAATTGCCTGCATTTTTTCTTTATGCTTCGTCTTCATATTCCTTGTTTACTTTTCAAAGAAAATAACATGGCGCCGAAATTACAAACGTCAGCCAGAAAATTACTTTTTTTTTGCTTCATCTTGCAAGATCTTTTGTAGTTGGATCATGCGAAGTACCGAATCGTTAAAGCCAAGGTACACAACATGCGTTCGCCGGCAAATACGTCACGCCTTCAATGTAAATAAAACTGAGCACGTGTGTTTGCATGACAGCTGTTACAGACGACGCCATTAATTGCGTTCGACAAGTCAAAAATTTGTAATAGTTTTTCCAAGTTTTTACTGNGCGTTCGACAAGTCAAAAATTTTTAATAGTTTTTCCAAGTTTTTACTGGATAGCGTTCAATAACAACAAACAAATATCCAACACACAAAAATTGAGAGAGCAGGCGTTCATTTTGATGCAAGAGAAGCGTTCATTTTGTACTGGCAAAATTTTAGTCAGCAAAAATTATCCAACACGAAAACATATTGTTGCAATTTTTGTACACAAACAAAATTGCATTTTTCGAGTTTTGGTATTTATATGCTTTTTGGCTGCCTGCTATGTGACTTTATGATAGTGCTAACTAGTTTTTACTTCTAGAAATGTTCCTGGCGAACATTGAACGTTCACTTTCCTTTTTTCTTCCATGAAGGCAACATGAAAATCAGTTTGTTTACAAATAAAACATAAACAAAGTCAGCTGGTGTGTCTTCTGCCTCCGGTTTTTGCAAGAGATGGCTAATTTCCTGTTCGTTTACTTGTTTGCTTTTTCTTCTCTTTGGGAGAGAAATTTCGCTTACGCCCTTGATTTTGATTCTTGGCTGGTGTTGGCTAATTTTGTTACCGAACGTAACTATTACGAATGCGTTAACGCAGTTGCCGTCGAAAGTAATCCAAGGCGCTACTTTTCCGTTGCGTTCATGCGTTGACATTTGAAATTACATTTGCATGCTTAGCAGCTGTTTCTTGTTTACAAAACAATGAGCGGCACAACGCAAAGTGTGTAACAGCAAATTTTTTAACGTCGTCAGCGCACAAACGTTTCAAGGGAATGCCGCATCAAATAAAAGTATGTACCTTCAGCTTTATACTCACATAATAAACTCGTTACTTGCATGTTCCGTATATGACCCAACCGACGTTACGCTGACGACACACAATCAGTTTTGCCTTTCAATTTCCTCACACACATTGCTTGTCGAAAATCATAAAAATTGAAAGCCATTACGTAGGTTGCATTCAATTTGAGAAGCAATTTCATTATCAACAGGCCGTCTTCAAGAAAACAATGTAACTAACTAGCTTCTGAAGACCATTTTCCAATTTAATTCCATTGTAGATTTAACATTTTAGCATGCATCGGCTTTGTATTTTTTTATTTTCACAAAATTCGCACGCCAATGCTGAAAAGCTGATCAAAATTGAAAGCATAATTGAAAGTCAATTGAAAGGGAAAAATTGAAAGCAACCCTGCAAGCCACGGCTAACCAGTCTCCCATGAAATTCAACAGATTTACACACACACTCGCAACTTTTTAGCTATGCTACCCACACATTTACAAATTTATTTTTCCGGCTGTCAAAACAAAATTCTGAGTGAGAGCACCGGGTCTAATAAGAATTTTTACTGTAATAAGAATTTTATGCGTTAGAGCGAGTAAGTGGAAATGAAGCAAAATTTTACAGCTTTGATCACAGTAGGCTGTGACTTTAGCAAAAGTTTGACATCTTTGATCACAGCAGGCTGTAAATAAAAGCGTTAATTTTGCAAAAACATTTGAAGGTAAGAGAACGTTTTAACAATTTGCATTGTTTATAATGGAATTTTTTTCTTTTAGATTGCCGAAACACTGCGATTTAATCATATAATTAAGGTATGTATTAGAATTATTCACATATTTGTATANAAAGGTATTAGAATTATTCAAATATTTGTATATTTTAATTGATAATTTTGCATTTACAGATTTGCGATTTTTCATTCTAAATTTATCTTCGACCTTGCTACCACGGAACATCAACGCCACCACCACTCAGGCTCCACACCAGCATATCCACCACCTTCAACGCCGCCACCAACAAACAGCGCTGCATACATTATTCGGTAAGTTTTCATGCGACGAATAAACGTTGCTTCAGCTGCAACTGCCTACATTAAGCATGTTCCTGGTGCTTCCCGATTTGCACATTTCACAAGAAAAGATGTTTTTGCAATTAATAAACCTTATGGCGTACAGAAACAGCTTCCTCTAAAAACCTGCAAAGCGTGAAGTACCTGGAACATACTTATTTAGTGCGTTCCAGAAAGTCTACGATTTGCAGGTTTTGCAGGATTTAGTCCAAAGTCGTTCCCGTACGCCACGTGATACACGTGTTGAGAAGCATTTTTGCCGACACTCTACTCATTTCATACAATGATGAGGGCAAAGCCAACAAAGCTCCACTTCTGGGGCTTAAAACAATATAATTAGTTTTCGGTAAATATGTTTTATTTGTTTATTTGAATTATTTCCAGAAGTAATGCATTCATATTTTTCCAACAGATGCGTTTGGGAGTATGCCCAAAATTGACCTCATTGCGGAAATCAGGAAGCACGTGTTCCTAACCCACAATAGGTACAAACAAATTGTAATTAAAAACAAAGTGAAACATAATAACAAATCTAACAATAATTAATTTAATTATCTTATTATTAATCTCTAAAAAAAAGTTACATAAAAATTTAATAACTTTCCAATCTATATTTCAAAAACCTTATTTATATTCGGCTATTCGGGATTTTTTGTATATCGACTGCTGAGTGGAAGATCGACCTCGGCAGCCAGTTCGAAAATGCCCTATCTCAAAAAACTTTTCAAGAACGCCCTATTTCAGAATTTTATTAAAAAACGCTTCAGAGTTCGGTTCAAAAAGGCCCTATCTCACTTCAAAATGTATTGAAAATGTGTTGCGATAAGACGTTTTTGAAACGAATTCTAAAAAACGAATTGAAAAGTTTTTTGAGATAGGGTGTTTTCGAGCTGGCTGCCGAGATAGGTCGATCTTCCACTTAGCAGTTGATATGCTCTTGAATTCTGTATTTGTGGTTTTTGGTAGGTAATGAAGTAAACTTTTATATTGTATTGCTGTAAGAAATTTCACTACATTTTCTACCAAAAACCACAAATACACATGCAAGGGCATATACAAAACATCCCGACTACCTTTATTAATTTGTAAATAATTGTAAATAGTGTAAAAAGTAAATTTTAACAATAGTTTTTTTAATAATTTTATATTAAAATTTGCATACTGGAATTTTAACAACAAAAAACCTACCTACCTACCTATTTATAAAAGCTTAGTAATTAGTNCTCTTGAATTTTGTATTTGTGGTTTTTAGTAGGTAATGAAGTAAACTTTTATATTGTATTGCTGTAAGAAATTTCACTACATTTTCTACCAAAAACCACAAATACACATGCAAGGGCATATACAAAACATCCCGACTACCTTTATTAATTTGTAAATAATTGTAAATAGTGTAAAAAGTAAATTTTAACAATAGTTTTTTTAATAATTTTATATTAAAATTNTTGTAAATAATTGTAAATAGTAGATTTTAATACTGGAATTTTATTAACAAAAAACCTATTTATAAAATGTTAATAATAAGGAAATGTAAATAGTTTTAAAAATTTTAACAGCAATGTATAATAATATATAATATATACAATAATTAATTTAATTACTCCCTGATCTCTCCTTTTTAAAATTTAAATAATTTTAATAATATATTTGGGGTGTTCACAGTTCGTTCCAAATAGTGTCTGAAAATGTAGAGTACCTCTATGGGCAACGTTTCCGAGTTCGAACGGACCATGCAGCGCTGAAGTGGCTACTACAGTTTAAGAATCCAGAAGGACAGCTAGCTCGGTGGATTGAGAGACTGCAAAGTTATGACTTCGCTATTGAGCACCGCAAGGGAAGTGTCCACGGTAATGCTGATGCCATGTCCCGCCGACCATGTAGCCTGGAATGTAAACACTGCTCAAAAGCTGAGGGAAAAGAGGACATTTTGGACGTCCGTCTAACGACAATAACACCAGCGGAAGAGTGGAAGGAAGAGCAGCTACGAAAGTGTCAGCAGGAAGATCCAGATCTGGAGCTTTTGATGCATGGACTCGAGGTGGACAGGAAGCCAACTAAGGAGCAAATGGCAGCGGAAAGCCCCATCGCAAAGCCGTACTGGGCACAATGGAACAGCTTAAAATTAATATCTGGCTGTTTGCATAGGGTATGGGAAAGCGAAGATGGCCAGTGCTCCCGCAACCTGATAGTAGTTCCAAGGGTAAGAATTCCGGATGTACTCAAGGAATTCCACAATAGTCCTAGTGGAGGGCACCTGGGAATCACGAAGACCCTGGAGAAGGTTAAGCAGAGGTTCTATTGGGTTGTTTGTCGGCAATCGGTCGCAGAGTGGATTGCTAACTGCGCGGAGTGTATTGCAGCTAAGGGGCCGAAATCCAGAAGTCATGGCCAGATGAAGCAATATAACTCAGGTGCACCTTTCGAGCGGATTGCCATGGATGTAGCCGGTCCATTTCCTATAAGCGTACAGGGAAACAAATACGTCCTTGTGGTTATGGACTACTTTAGCAAATGGCCGGAGGTATACCCGATTCCAAACCAGGAAGCTAAAACAGTAGCGGAGGTATTCACCTACTATTGGGTTTCGAGATACGGTGTACCTATAGAGCTGCACTCTGACCAGGGAAGAAATTTTGAGTCGGCGGTGTTCCAAGAGATGTGCCAGATACTGGGTATCCGGAAAACTCGAACGACGGCTCTTCATCCCCAATCAGACGGCATGGTGGAACGGTTTAACCACACCCTGGAAGAGCATTTGCGGAAGGTCGTGGACAAGAATCAAAAAGATTGGGATGTCCGCATACCCTTGTTCCTGATGGGATACCGGCCAGCAGTGCATGAAACAACGGGTAAAACTCCTGCAAGGGTAATATTCGGCAGTGAGCTCCGTTTGCCTAGTGATCTGAAGTTTGGGGTGACTGGTGATGCTAGAAGGATTGGAAAAGAGACGTCAAACATCCTGGAAGAGGAGCTGAGAGAGATACATGCTCTTGTGAGACAGCGCACACAAATTATGAGTGACAAGATGAAAGCCAGGTATGATAAGGCGATGAATTCCGAGGGTTTCCAGGAAGGAGATTTGGTGTTGCTGTACAATCCACAACGAAAGAAAGGTTTGTCCCCAAAACTACAATGCAACTGGGAAGGTCCGTATAAGGTCGTAAAACGGCTAAATGACGTAGTGTATCGGATCCAGACCGTTGGGAGACCAAGAAACAAGATGAAGGTGGTCCACTTGGAAAGGCTTGCAGTGTTTGGAACCGCAAGTGTGTCTGATCGGGACGATCAGACTTAGGTGGAGGGCAGTGTGGCGAATACTGCGGCAACACAAAGCGAACAACGAGAAATAGGCAGAATGTTCGAAGAATGACATAGAATGTTCCACAAAGAGAAACGTCAAGTTGGATGAACACTGCGAACAGCGAGAGAAAGAGAATGAGCGATAAACTTCAGAATGTTCTAGAGTTGCCATAAGTGCCAGCGCAGGTATATAAGGGCGCCGCCACCGCGAGGTGAGTTAGTTACAAGTCAGCAAGCTACAAGTAAAGTGAGCGGAGAATTGAGTTGCGAATACGCAAGCTATAAGTTTAATTGTGTTAACAAGTAGTAAAGCGTTGTTATTGCTTTAAAAAGTATTGTAAAGTGTTTTTACTGTATTAGCAAGTATTGTAAATTGTTTGTTATACAATAAAGTTAATTGTACTACAATTTGGTCATCGTTAGCATTTATTTAACAATCCAGCGATACGAGCCCGAGTATATTTGGGAAATCCCTCAAGGTTTCGAGGATAATCGTAACAATACTTTTTCTCTTTAAACCATTGGGATGTTCACAGTTCGTTCCAAATTATGTCTGAAAATGTAGACGTCTACATTTTGAGACATCTTTAGCATCAAACTGTGAGCACCCCTTTCTAGCAGTCGTCGCAAAATCGTCTCAAAACTTTGCTGGTGTTGCCAGACATTTCCTCTTTGCGTTCATTTTTTATATATCGCCTTTCGATTTTGTTTCTGAAAAATTGTAATTATTTAACTTAATTACCAATTCCTAATATTTGTTATTTCTTTTCCTTGATTTGTTTCTTTTCATCAGAAATTGCATTCAAATTAAATGCAAATACAAAAAACGTGCCCAATAAATAAAAAAAATGTGATTAGTATTGCCATAATGCAACCCTGCTGCGAGGTTGCAAAATGTAGACGCGTAAAAAACATACCTTTGAGTATGACAAAATGTAGACGGCGTCGTTTTCCAATTTTGTATGGGAAACAACAACACCACAGATTTTACGGTTAGAAAACGTCTTAAAATGTAAACGT